CTTTCCATACAATGTATGTATATTAATCACTTAATACAATGTAAACCATACATATTGTGATAAAACAATTGTGATTTCAGTGATAAATAGCAAAGGAATTACATGACTGTTTGTGTTTTACAGCCTTTGGACTATGAAACAAAAAAGTCCTATACCTTCAAAGTAGATGCTTCTAATGCACAACTGGATCATCGCTTCCACAACACAGGACCCTTCAAGGATACAGCAACTATCAAGATTAATATTTTGGATGTTGATGAGCCTCCAGTATTTGACAAGTCTTCGTACACTATGAATGTGTATGAAGATACCCCTGTCGGGATCATTATAGGAGCTGTAACTGCGCAAGACATGGATGCTGGCAGCAGTCCTGTAAGGTAATCTGTAACTTCATTTATAATTTAAGGTAGTTGATTAGAGTGCTTTATTCTGATTTAAGGGGAACCATATTGTAGGTGTAAACTTATTTGTGGAATTGGATTTTAAAAAATACAAGTAAACAAAACACAAATAAATGACCTCTCTTTTCAGAGTGCCAATGACATATTTAACATAGATGGGAATTGTAGGACCAAGGTGTCTACTATTTCGGTGTGATCAGAGCAGTCTAGGCTCATGGTGAGACCAGTCCATCCATCCATCTAATTGCTCTATCCAATACAGGGTCATGGGAAATCCAAAGCCTCTCCCTGCAAGCAGCAGGTGCAAGGCAGGATAAACCCTGGACAGGATGCCAGTTCATACGAGACCGACACAGACACAAAAATGCACACACTCATACCACGGGTAATTTTCCCAGAAACCAATTAACACACCAGTATGTGTTGAGGACTGTGAAAGAAAACAAGAGCAGCTAGAGAAAACTCATGTGAGCACAGGGAAAGCATACAACGTCATGCATAGTGCACCCCAGGAAGTGACCACAGGGCCCCAGTATTGTGAGGCAATGCTCACCACTGTGCCACCATGCTGCCCCTGAGATCAGTCCTTAAATATAGGTTTGTTTAGTTTGAGAGTCAGTACCACAGTGAGTCACTGATAAAGCTTCTTGTAATAAGTTTGTTTAAATAGATGCTGTATATTGAATGGTTTAGCTATCATCATTTACAGTACATTTACACTACTCCATTGGGAATTGAGGTGTGGGCTCTCTCAATTTCCTTGCTGGGGAAATTGTTAATGCAGTTTGTATCAATTAGAAGGCTGACAAAACTGTGCCAAGTAATAAACTAATACATCTGACTTCATTTACATGTAGAGTTATGGTAACAATATTTAGAATTAAACTACAGGAACCACGTACTGTAGTTTTACAATGAAATATGATTTAAGGTTATTACTCAACATTAATTTTGAAAAGGAAAATATTGCTTAACCAAATTTTAAGAGTTTAAATAAGCATCTACAACAAAGGATATAGAGAGTATATGAAATGGTGTATTTAGTTTTCCAGAAGGTTATGATTAAATTTGATAAAATTTTCAGAAAAGGTTCTTATATAACAGCAGACGGAACATGCAATGCTATAGATTTAGATTCAGAAGGATATTGTTTCTATAAAATCGTATATCTCAACTTACAGATAGTAGGCATTCAGGATAATGTACATGAAAAAGAGAGTACAGCTAAGGGATGAATGATCATATAGCAGTGATGTAAAAAGTGGACTATCACAGGGATCTGTAATTTAGATAAAATTATGATAACAAGGGATGTCACCATGTTACCAAAATGTATTGGTGCACTGCAATCAGTCCAATAAGTTCCAGGTCTAAGGGGAACGTTCTACATAGGCAGACTGAAGAAACTGAGCCTTTTTAGTTTTGAACAGCCAAATAGGTGACCTGTTACAAATATTCAAGATCCTTAAAGGCGTAGAATTAGCAGTTAAACATAGCTCTGTAATACTCATTTCAGGAGCAGCACAGGTTGGATCTAGACGGATGATATTTTCCACTACCCTCTTTATTTTGATGTTAAAAACTTTATAGCTGAAAATCGTTAAATAAATCTTTTAAAAGCACAACTCCAATGCCTTTTAAAACATGTTAATATATTTTATTCATTTCCCTCACTCTGCTACGCAAAATAACCTCTTAACAGCTTCTCTTATAAATTCCTCAACTACAGCAAGTCAATCTGAATTTCCTGCTCAAGTTCAAATCACAATTCAGATCACTTCTGCAGTCTGTTCTGCAGCCCAACAAGTGTGCTCTTGTCCTTTGCCTCCTTCATTTTACCTGCCTCTATAAATAAACCTTTTATCCTCTCCTTCATCAACTTTCACCACAAAGCCTTCATCAAGAAATTAAAGACAGCTGATACTCTATACTGATCTTAAGTAATTAAGCGTTACCTCATTCTCCAACAAAGCATCATTCCATTTGCCCTCCCACTGCCCAACACCTTCTACCAGATCAACAGTGGCCTGAAGTGACACATGGCCAGAGCTCACTGCCGTTGTATCTCAAACAAACACCAAAATACAAGGAGAGAAAATATACAAAAGCTTTACCTCACCATGATGAAATCTTAAACTGAAAAAAAAAAACAGTTTAGCCACAAAGAGCTTTATCCTTATTACGGCTTATCAACATGGCATACAGTAGCTAGTGACACAGAGAAACAAACATATACAGTATGTGTGTGTATTAGAAGGAACATCCTTTCAGGAAGGCAATTGCAATTAATGAGTATGGACATGAATGTTTTACTCTTTGTCAAATCATAATAATGTGAGAGAGGGAACTGTCTTATATCATATAATATATGAGACTTTAAAATGCAATGTTTTTAGCATCATTGATATAAATGGTCTAGAAGAAGATGACAAATACAGGTATGCTGTAATATCTGCCGTGGGAACAATTTACAGTGTCACTTAACAAGTCAATGAAGTAGCACATTTATTTTTTTCGTATGAAGAGCTTTTCATTTGTCGGAGCTCCCAGTCTGCCCATTGTTTTGTATAGAACAGAAACAATAAAGATTTATATGGATACTTCATCATTGTCCTCTGGGAGGAGGCAGTGAAACTTCTGCCCCTATAGATACATTCAATCATCTGGTACAATTTATTCAGGCAGAATCAGACCCACAAGAAGTATATGATCCACTGGGAAGGAGAATTTTTTACTTTTCATAACACCTTGGTAACTAAGTATTGTATTACAACTGGAATACCAGGATTATACTTGGGGCCCTCAAATATATAGCACCACAAACATCAGTTCTTCCAGTTTTGTGGTCTCTAACACATTTTAGACAATATCCCATATCTGAGAAAAGATATACTGTACATAAGTTTATGTTCTGGTACTATTCCATCATTTTCATTACATTTCCTAAATAAAGGCATATGAGTTTCTAAACTTTGTGTTTGTGCAGTCTTTGCTTTTTTGTGAACTGAAGTATACTTAAATTATTTCCAAGCATTATCTTGAATTTCAAGTGATTTTGTCATTTCTATTTGTACAAACTTTCTATTTGTACGCAAAAGCTCGGGACTCTGGTTTGAAATATTCACAACAAGTTTAACACTGTTTTAAACACCATTTTTAAAATCAATTGAGGATTTTGTGGATTTCACAGAATAGAGTTATACAATCACCCATATTAACACCATACAATAGGTATGACAGGCCTGTGTTAGGCATGATTTGTCACAATCCAATGAAGCACTACAATATGGAACATGAGTGAAATGGACTATGAAAATATTGATCATATAATAATTTTGAGGAACATAAAATGGGTATGTTGTATTATTTTACTTGAAGATATGCAATGCTATTTTGTAGTCAGAATTGAAGAGTCTTTTTAGTCTTTTAAGTTAGGTTTGCTATAATGGGTAAATAGTATGAAACTTACAACAAGCAGACACTCAAACACAGTTAATAAGGCTCAGAATATGTACAGTACACCACTGAATATGCATGAAGCAAAAACTGGAAATGATTGGTTACTGGAAGTTTGGTTACCAGAAAAGTTGGTTATTATGGTAACATAAACTGTTCCTTTAAGCTTCATGTGCACAAGAAAAAAAAACATTGTTTTTTAAATGCATTATTTTTTAGAGTTATGTAACTTTAGAGCTATGCTATCTGACTCCCATATTTATTTCCAAAGTTTATGCAGGTGAACATACTATATACAGTACAGTTTCAAAAGCTGTGAAACTACATCAGGCTTCAAGAGTATTTGTTTTAATATAAATTTTTTATAAAGTGTAACTAATGGAAGAGGTTGGACAATACAAAACTAAATGGATAGTTCTTGCTTAGCTGTTCAATATTTCACAGTAACCCAGATGCCATTGTTGTACTATGGAAAACAATTAAAAATGTGGTCATACACTACACAAAAGATGGAAGAGTGCTTCAAGAAGATGCTGTGCATAGAGAATGATGTTTTAGAGTGCTTCATCATTTCACTAGGGTATACTACTATATATATATTTACAGCTTTTATTTCCATATAAAAGCTCACAAAGAGACTAAAGAATTTTAAAGTGAATTTGTCTAAGCAGAGTTTAAAATTGAACACTTTCAACAAAAACAAAATAAACTTTCTGCTTATAGTGAGTTCTGGAATTCTCACTAATCCTAATGAGTATCCTAATTACCTCCTAGCGTCTGCAACACATTTTTTATACAACAGATTTATTTGTCCAAGGTTATTTGTAAAATGACTAATAATTATTTTCATACTTTACAATGGTAAAGAAGTCTTAATTTTCTTTATTAAAAAATGATCAGCTATTTTGTTTCAGTCACATGCAAACCAGTGTCCTTCCACATCAGATTTTAAAAGCATGTTTTGCAGAAATTAAGAAATGTATGAAATATCAACATAGAAATGAGAATGAAACATAGAATTTTCAACCTAAAGATGGTTTTAAATTCAAATTGTTGTAATGAAATGTGAATGTAAGGTACAGGATGATATTGCCAAGAACACTTGATCCTTGCTTTGTCTTAAACAAAGTAACACAACAGACAAATTATGTACCTTAATAACCTATTTATAAATTAAAGAAACTTTAAGTTTCCATAAAAAACTAAACGAATGGATTGGTACAAGTACGAATGAAAATCATACATAACAGTATACTGTACCATTATGATATAAGTATTATGTAATTTTCCTGTTTCTTTTCTGTCTTTTACTTTTGTGTGATTGAATTATAGGTGTCAAGTATTTTAAAATTATTAATTTAATTTAATTTTCAACACATTAAAATTATTGTTTAGTGATAAACAAAATCCTTTAATCTTCAGATAATAGGTAAATGCAAACATTTTTACTGCTGTTTTACATATGGCATCAGAACTGTAGAGACTTCTCACTTAATTGACAGTCCACTTTGAAGAACAAGTGTGATTTCCTTTGTGTTCTCATTAGGCAATCTGTCTGTGTGAAACTCTGTGAGATTTAATTACTGGGGCTTTTCTGGAGGCTGTTGCTGCGAATAGATGAATCACCTGCACAGATGTTAGGTCTTTTGAGTGGAGCTATTCAATTCAGTTCAGTGAAAATACAGAGCTAGAGTGTAAAGAGCATGCAAATCAAAAGTCGAGACCCTTATACCAAGAACCAGAGTGTTATAAATTTTAAGAACAGCAAAAGCCACAATTAAAGGGTGTAGAAGCATATTTTGCTTTGCGTTTACTCACCTTTTAGTATGTTATTTTAGTTTAAATTCCTGTATACATATTTATTGGAAAGCATCCATTATCTTTGAGAAACTGGAGTTGCCAATGTAAAATACACCCAAGCCCTGTGGCATCAGTTTGGTGTTTTTAATGTACATTTTGTCATAAAACATCATTCAGTACATGCTAAAGAAAAGCATGTTCTGTTTGTAAAGCCACTTTGCTACATTTTCACATCCCAACATTTTTTGTCTTCTACTTTCCAGACACAGCAACACTTACGGTACAACCATCATGTAGTTTTCTTTTTATAGTGAAAAATGTTCCTTTATGTGAATATGGTTGGGTTATACATTATGTGTCAAATATATGTCCATATTGCATGGTGCGTGTGATAATGATGTATTATTAGGCTACATTACAGCAAGAGTAGATTATTTCTTCTTTTATTCTTTTTAGCTATTCACTAAAATGATAAAGCAACTTGATAATATATGCAGAACGATCTGCATGCATAATATATATTTGTTATAAAAGTTTTGCAGTAATGCTATGCTGGAGTCTTTCATGCTTCAAAATGCAAACTGTGCTAATGTTCTCTAGGGCATGTATTTAAAAATGAAAAAGCTACAAAATTATTATTATTAAGAATATAAAAGTGTTCTGTTTAAATGATCATTATTTCAGAAATTAGGCAGTCTACAAGAACTGATACTAGTAAATTACACTATAGCTGACAAATTTGTTCACAACTTTCATGAACTTTCATGAACTGTAAGTAAATTTTGTTGAAGAAGAGCAAATTTATTCTTGCTGGCTTCAGCTCTTGCTCCCCCGTGACCCAGTAATGGATAAAGCAGTTAGAAAATGGATGGGTGGAAATATCTTTTTAATTAACTGCTCTACTTTCTAAATAAATTCTAATAACAAATTGTCTATGTATTGAATGTCTCAGAAAGTTTCTAGAAATATTTGGGAGTCACCTCTATTGTCAAAGGGTATTAAAAGAGTCTGCACTTACAGTAGATGCAGAATAGTCCATACACAGTCATCATGAGTATGGTAGTTTTGTCTGAAGATCTAGGTAATTAATTATCAACCTCAACAATCCTCATGACAATTAAAAAATATTTAAAAAATATTTAAGAACTTTGAGGTGTTTGTTTCATCATCATTTGGAAGGACGTTTATGATTTCTTCCCAAAATATTTAGTCAGAAAAGGTTCTGTGAGATTGCAAGATTAACTCACACTCTGGACAATGGTTAGTAATATTAAGAAAACTTTGGTTCAAATGACTTTGAATCTGGAAACAGAAGCAGAGCTCCAGAGCAACTTAAAAAAAACAAGAATTTGCCAATGAGGAACAAATTAACTCCAAAGTATGATGGGACCAAAGGATGTGACTGGATGGAATTTAGTATTTGGATGATCTCATGAATTGTATGATTAGCTTAGATGGGTGAAATCAAGCTGTAATGGACTGTCATCCCGTCTATGGTGTATCCTGCCTTTCGCCTACTGCTTACCAAGATAGGCTCCAGATCTCTGGCAAACCTGTATTGAGTAAAGCAGTTAGAAAAAGAATAGATGGGTGAAATTCATTTCTATCTTTTTGAAGCATAAATGAAAAAATGAAAGGTTTTTACACTACTTACAGTAGTATAACTAGTTTTGCATTCTGTGAAATTATTTTTACATACCAGCATATTTTAAATTCAAAATAATTATTAAGTGTAAAATCTATAAATCTATAAAGCCTTGATTTAGTGCTCTAACAAAGACACGTTTATATTCACTAAATCAAGAGAATAGGACTTAATGCATACATTTCAAATGATGATTTTGTGCCTACACATCTCCACATTTTAATATATGCAGCTAAATGTCCTGTTTATATATTCTTTCTGCAAGAAACAAGAAAAAGAAAACTGCATTTTAAAAGTGAATTCCTGTATTCCAGTTCTATGAGTTCTTTCTTTTTGAAAGCAGGCAAAGTAGTCTTATTTTTTCTACTCAAAGTACAGTACTATTTTTATTTGCATCACTCGGGTTAAACCTTTGAAGTAGAAATTTAAATTCAGTAGTAGAAACTAATATTTTAAATGTAGAGTGAATGCATTTAAATTAATCAGTTAATTATATTAATATTTACATTTAAAGATATTTAGCTTTAAATTGAACTCTAGCTGAAGTTCTCTTCTTCCTAGTTGACAGTTCATGTACTATTCATGTTTATGTTCAAACTTCAAATCTCTCTGTTTGCAGAAATAATAATATAAAGAAAACATGTACTGGAGGCACATTTTTATATTTGACAGTGTTGATCCATGTAGTCATAAAAATCTGCATCATTTGCTGAGAAGTAATAAGAATTTAGTCTGATTTATTTTTTACAAAACAAGAAGATAAAAATAAAGGGTAACTAAAGTATAGTTGAATCAGCATACTGTATGTTATACTGTTGAGGATTTGTAATGCATACAAAATCTTATATGTAATGTAAAAAAAAATACCTCCAATACATTTGAAGGTCTCCTGTGAGAATAAGTTCAGTATGCTGCAAAACTTACATAGTACACCCTAACAATAAAATACAATTCCATTGATAATATAACATATTATTTAACATGTTGCATTGCTTCCATCTGTGAATTACTGTATCGGTAAGAAGCTTTGAAACATAGTGGTGAATCTGCAAGGTTATTCCATTCTCCCATCAATTTCATTTTTTCATTGATTCTTATTAATATGATTTTTAACACACTCCCTGCTAGTAAGTGGTAGGTATTTGATTGGATTTTTACAAAAAAACTGGAAAAGCTTACTAAAATGAGACTGAAGGCTCAGACGTTATTTAAGAAAAACTAATATGTATAACACCACTTCATCTTTAACTTGGAAAGAAATAAAATGAATACTATAACTCTAATAGAGAGGTCATACCCATTTTTACAGGAATACACTATTTTTAAAATAATATATAACAATATAATTATTATTTTCAAATAATAATACATTTTGTTATTTTCAGGTATTCTATTGACTGGAAGAGTGATTTGGACAGCTATTTTGACATTGATCCAGTTAAGGGAACCATCTCTACAAACGAACTGTTGGATAGGGAAAACATTCCACAGCATAATATCTCCATTGTGGCAACTAAAGTTAGTAAGTATGACAAGAAATCAATTATGAGTTATGATTATGTCACAGTGTTTTCAGCGTTTATAAGAACACTATATTCCATTATTTTAGTATTCATATTCATTTTAATTGAAGCCACTAAGTACCATCTTTGGTAGAGATGTTTAACTATTATGATTTGTATTGTGATTTTTATATACCTAGTCAATATGTTGCTTATGATTCAGAAATGACAATTCTCTGCAGAAATTGTTTATTCAGTATTTTTACAATTTTTCATTTTATTACAGATATTACTGTTATTTTCCATCATTTTATTTTATGACCTACATTATTTGAAAAACATACAGTATTCCAGTGTAAACATGAGAAAATTCTATGCCTACTAAAAGTATGTGCTATTGTGATCAGAGCAATCATTATTTTTATTACAATTTTGAGAAATTTTCTTTTGTCTTAGGCATTTACACCATATTCAACTGTAGTAATAATTATACAGAAATATGATTGTTCATAATCAGTTTGGCATAAGGGTACTGATGTATAAAATCCAACCAGACCCATACTTTGATTTCATACTGATAAGCAAATTTCCATAGAGCATGTGGCATCTCATGTACCTTCTGAAGGTTTACCGAAATTATGTACTGCACTAACAGCAAGTTTTTGTAGAATTATAAATAAAAATGTACTCATAAAGCTTGCTACGTTACAGTATTACAAATTGCAATGTGGTTGCCATACATTATAAATAATTGCATTCTGTTTTAAAAAATATTCTTAAATAAAAGGTCTGCTGAACATAGAATTCTTGCTATTTCCATTGGAAGTGAACATTTTTGATAGCTGGCCAGATACTGTAGCTTGATTATTATATAATCAGTTTCTTGGAACAAGTATCATGCTTCTGCTGACCTGTACATAATGAGAGCATTGTGGAAAGAAACAGAAATGTCTGTCAGCAACTTATCTCTTTTCCCTTAACATCTGGGTACTGAAATCAAGTGTTAAGTGCTTTAGAAGGATAACACCATCATTATAGTTGTTTTCCCCTCATTGATGAGATAATTTAGGAAGAGCTGACTTAAAAATCAATAACTTTAATAAAAATAAAGATGTATTCCTATGACAAAATAAGTTTATTACCTCAAGTTAAAAAGGCTGAAGTAATACTTAATAATAAAAAAAAATCCAAGATTAAAATACAGACTGAGAGATTATCACAGGAGGTTAGTTACAGAAAAATGTGAAATATTACATTTTGCAATAACTGGGCTGTGGTATGAATAAAGAAAAAGGGATACACTTGTGTATTTTCAAAATAATTGTATGAGGAAAATAAAATAACATAAAAAACTTTATTTATTATAAAAGTACAAAAAAGTTGACTTAGATGTGCTAGTATTATTGTTTAGTGAAATGGTACCATCTAGTGGGGATAAAGGCAAACTTTGAAAAAAATAATTATTTTATTATTATTATTATTATTATTATTATTATTATTATTATTATTATTGTGTTAGAATGTATGTATAAAATATTGAAGAATGAAACATATGGAGATCAAAATGACAGCTAGATAAATTTGAAAATATTAGGAAAAATATAGTTAATGATTGTAATCCAATAAATCTAGTTTTATGTGGGTCAAAGTCCTTGGTCAAAGAAGGTGTCCGAAGTTTAATATCCAGTTTAATTATAAGTAATTTATATACTGTATCTTGCTTTCTAAGCTGCACTGGTAACTTCTAGCAGGCACAGCACTTAAAATTAATAACATATACCTTGATGATTTGTTCGCAAAAAAGATTGTTGATTGTTATGAATTCAATAATATACCACATATAAAAATACAACCGTTTTATGTAGTGCTATAATATACATATTATATAATATACATATATATATAGTCATATTGTGCAATGCAGTTTACATTTGACTTTGTGTATCAGTTTTTACTATATACAGTACTGTATTTAGTATTTTTCATACCAATTGCTCATTCTATGCAAACTATGTTTAATTAGCAAGTTACTGCTTATAACTGAGGGAAAGGTCTATTTTATTAATGTGCGTATTAAGGTATCTTTTTTAGGGAGAATAACATTGATAGGGTGCAATTTTAGCCATCTGGAATATGGAAAGCAGTGGGTTCATTGATATTATAATCCAATATTTAATTTATCAGTGTTGAGTCTAAAGGGTTTTGATTAATTAGGTTTTATCTGGACAAAGTGTTATGTAATATGAAGTTGAATAATAAATATAAGTAAATACATAAATATAATGATTTTTACATCTACATTTACCTGCTATAATGTAGATGCAGTATATATGATCTGTCTGTATTTAAATGCCTCAGTTGTATGCCCTGTGAATGGCAACAATATGCCACTGAAAGAAAAAAGGAAGTGTGAAAGTTATTGTTGGAGAGCCAAAGCATGTGAAGACAAATATGAAACAGTAAATGTATGTTCTTTGTGAACTCATCATATTTTTCAATTACGGGTGCTTGCAAGTTTGATTAATCAATAATCACCTGCCTATTACTAATTACTTATATGCAGCAATTGAGTAAATGCAAATTAAATAAAATGTTTATTTGACATGTTTCAAAGTCCATTACATAATTTATGCATATCCATGTCAAATGAACGAATGTACGAATACATAGTAAGAACATCACTTGCTGTTAATGTAAAAAGATAAATGTTGTAGTGATTTAACATCACTTGATAGTTATATGAATATGGAATTGTGTAACTGTTCAGCTAAAATATCATAGGTGGACATTTCGGCAATGTTTTGACATCCGTTTCTTTTGAAAAAAACTTTTATTGTCCTTGTAGTGGTAAAGGACAAAGCACTGCACCCAATGGTTCAAAGCGCGATCAGAGTATTACTTTCGGTTTATTTCTTATATAGTGAATACATAAAAACAGTCCACTTTCTTGTTGTTGGCTCTGGTGTGAATTTGTGTATCTGGATAAATTAAGTGATGGTTTTGTGATTAAGGATTATTGAGGAATTTTTTTAAGTTAAACAAAGGAGGGAAGAAGGGTTATTTTTACAATTGCCACTCCGAGATTCTGACTGATTTGAAATCATACAGTAGTTATATGTATTGGACGATGCTCTATTTTATTTACAGACACTCTGACTCAAACCTGTGTCATACAGTGATATAGACATGGGTAATGTCATCCCTATAAAACACATCATGCTAAACTAGAAGCATTGCAGAAGGTGATAAACTGTACATTATTTACTGGAGCTCGGTTGAGTTCAAAGAAGGAAGTCTGAGAAACCCCCCTGTTTATTGGTACTAAAAATTTGATGAGAAGTCACGGTTCTGTACAGATTACAGAAATGTGAACACTGAAACTCCACCAGACATCGTATGTACTGTTTAACCATAGTCAAGGACCGATGTGCTGTTCCCAGTCACGTACTGTGGTAACATTTATATTGCAGACTTATATAATAAAATCAAGAATTTACTACTAACGTGCATTTAATAAAGGGAAAAACGGACTGTAATTGTACAGTGCCTTCTATGAATATATTAAAAAGTGGAAAAAAAGAAATATAAATATATACAGTACTTATAATTATACTTGCATGACTGGATATTGCAGTCAAAACAAAAATATATTTATTTAAATCATGTCCAAGACACAACTATACTGTACCTCTTTCATGAAGAAATGTGTATTTGGCAAATCAAACAAAACACATATTCTTTAATTAAATCATATTATACTACAAATCCAATCTTTTTTTTTATTTTTTAACCATGTCAGTAAATGTAACATGTATGTAAACAATGTGTTTCTAACCTGAATGTCCTTACCCATGGTGTTAGGTGAGATTTAGTCAGGCCTGCAATTCTAAAATGTATCTGTAGATGGCAGTGCTGTATTGATTTATACTAAAACATTCAGCCAGAATATGTCAGGCATACTTTATTTACTCTACATGTATTTTGTAACTTTAATCTGTTTTATACAAATTACGCGATGTCCGCAGTGGATGAAATACTGTTTTCTTTTTCTTCAACCAGATAACCCAGTCCTGACCAGTAAAGTTGATGTCACAGTCCATGTGCAGGATGTTAATGAGTTTCCTCCAGAATTTGCCATACCTTATGAGACCTTTGTTTGTGAAAATTCCAGAGTAGGCCAGGTAAGTAAAATATATATATATATCTTTTCACAAAAACACAGGCAAATATATTTATATATAAGGAACAAGAAATAGGTTTAATCCACGGCCGAAATGTTGTGTTTTCTTTTTTTTTCAGCATGGAATAAACCTAATACTTGTTCCCTTGCAGCCTATGTATGCTGGTGCAGCTACCCACCTGAACTATTTATATATAATAGATCACATGCATATACAGTATGTGATTTATAGCTTAATGTTGTGAGCTGCATTAGTCTACAGCAAACAAATAAGTAGAGGTAAATTCCTCTAAAAAATAAATGGATGAAAATGAGCTAGGGAGCATACTTCAGTTGTCTTTCTGTATACACCATGCTGCTTTTCATATCTTTATTTTTTACTTTTAAGAATGGAATTGACCTCTGCTTCTTCCTGTATAATGTGTGTACAATATATACAGTATAGAAAAAGAATCAAAAACTGTAAATTGATTCCCAGGTTTAGATAGATCCATATATGATGCATGTAAGGATAACACATGCAAAATGCAACTGTGTTTTATGGGTTTTGGAGCCACCCTTTCCATATTTAGTCCATCAGGTAGGTCAGTGCTCATCATATCATAACATAATCATGTTGATTGTTGTGAATTTGCAGCTCATAACCTATGAGATTAGCAGGAAGATTGTAGGAGGACACTTAAACAAGAGCTTCTCAAGGGATGCCCACACATACAGTACTCTGCAAGGTTCATGGCTCAGTGATTAACTAAATCACATCAAAATTGTAATTCTCTGAATGTCATTGATTGGCAATCTGCTTGACTGGATGTGCACCGCTGATGGTCTATACATATCTACTTGAAACATGGTTAACTACAACAGAATTGGGCAGACTTTTTTGGGAAAAATAAGTTACCAGTTCAACCTAATCTTGCAACTTCCAGGTACAGATTACACAAACTAGATGTGTAATTCCATTTCTAAAGTCACTGTAATAAATTACAGGCTTCTAAGGCAATTTAACAGATTGCTTTTAGTACAACAGAGGGTGGTCTTGGTCTTATTATAACTTATTCTCTGTAAACAAGGGGTCTGCTTATAAAATAAAATGAACATGTATTTTGACTAGTTTCTATGTAATCCTAAAGGAACTATAAAAAATATACTGCTGTGTTCCTCCAGAGAAAAGCAGTTTGGGACAGTAACATCTTACTATGCTTATAAAAACTGCAACCTTTATTGGTTAATGCCTCTGATGCACTTATCTTTTTTATAATGTATTTTTATGCATATGTGACACATGTTTGCACAAAAAATGCACCTGCTACTATTTTTACAGATGTTACAGCTCAGTTGTTTGTATCACAAACCCATATGACTTACAAAGGTGTTTTATTTTTAATATTAATTAACATTAATATCAGTATTTCTAAACAATAATGTTTAAATACCAGTAATGTTTTTTTATAACAGTGCCCTCATTTGGCTTTCTTCTCACAAATCATGCACAGGCTTTACTTTTGTATCTTTTTTTTCCAGCTAATTCAAACTGTTAGTGCAAAGGACAGAGATATGCCCCCTGCTGGTCAGAAGTTCTTTTTTAAATCACCACCAGAAACCATTAAAAACCCAAATTTTACAGTCCAAGATTTCAGAAGTAAGTGATTCTTTCTGTTTAATTCCTTTGATATAAGTAAGGCAATCTGGAGTAAAAGATGTTCAGTGCTATGAAAAAGAACTGATCAAATATGCATCTCATCATTAGAGAGTATATGTTTCAGTTTGACTTCTGTATACCTTAAAACAGACTTTAGTTACACCTAAAGAATAATAGTCAAGAACATCTAAAAAGATGTTCTAAAAAGAAAAAACCTCTTCATGATCCCTTGTAGGAATACTTTATTATTTTTATTTAATATACTAATTTTGAAAGTATATATATAAAATAAGGAACAAGTAAAGGTTTATTCCATGCTAAAGAAGGTCACATCCGAAGAAGGCTCCACAGCCAAAATGTTGTGTTTCCCTTTTTCTCTTTTCTTCATGGAATAAACCTTTACTAGTTCCTATAAATAAAATAAATTAGTATATCTCAAAATGTTTATTGGGTATGTTACATTTGCTAAATTAGATTTAATATCTCCCCCTTATAGAGTTGATTTGTGTAAACAAAATGTTCTACATTTATTTGTATTGTTCTCAGAAAATAATTGGCTCTTTTTTTAAAAGCAAGTATATTGTAATAGCATTCCAGGCTTTTACACATACAATATAATCCTAACAAAATATTAAAAGTAGATTACTTTAATGTGTTGTATCTATGTTAATGTACCACCATGGTAGGGTATTTTTTTACTTCATGTTTAATGGAAAATCTCATTTGCACCATCATGGTGTTGAAGATTAACCTGACAAAATTCTTGCATGAAAGGACTGTCACATTCTATTTAAATTTTTAGTTTTTAAGTAGAAACAAACTTTTAACACATGGCTAACTTCTGATGGGTGAAGACAGGCATACCAGGAAGTTAGGAAAGAAAATAAACCTGTACATGTAAGGTGTGTTTTAATCGTTCATCTTCAGCCAAAAGCTCTGGCACCCCCTGTCAAGTAAATCCTTGTTAATTTGAGTGGAACAAACTAATACTGACGGGGTCAGTTAGCCTTCCTTTAGAGGATGAGCACATTCTGTGTTGTGCTTGACACATTCTCGGTCTCTTAACGACAGTTTTGGATGTTATTCACTTTGACCAAAATGCACCTGCAGGCCTGCAACTTATTGTTTTCTTCTCAGTAAGGAATTAACCTTCACCCTGTGCTGGAATAGGCTTGGCTATAGCACAAATAAAATGCAAGTGCTCTCTTGAGTGTGTTAAGCGCAGCAGTAGCCATTGGCAGTTTAAAAGTTTTGAATTGCATGACCTAAAGGGGGTATCTTAAGGTTATTGCTTCCTGGTTGTTGATGTTTTACCAGCAAGAAAGATATAAACACGATACATGCTTTCTAAGCAGTCAGGATATTCCATCTTTTTAAAACTATAATTCCTTACTAGCATAAATAATATACATTATAATTGAATTACACTAATACCGCAAGGCTTAGTGCACAATGCCAGAAGAGCCTGAAGGTAAAATAATGAAATACTGTATCTCAACATTGTTTGGATTGCATCTTCATGATGTTTCATCTGTAGAATTCAGTTTACAATTTCTTATATTGATCCCTTGTGAGATTATGTTTAATTAATGTGTTGCACTGAATATGCCATAAAGGAATACTAATACTGAAAGCTATTGGTGTTAGAAATCAGTATCCCAACACCAATCAACCAAATACATAGTCTAGACCCATTTTTTTAGAAACAAAAGCATCATTATTCATTTTCTTAAGATTTGTTGACTGTGGTCTCTTAAGTCTAATATTTATTTTTGAAAAATTCAATTATTTTCAATGTCATAGTTTCACTTTCAATCTAATTTTTAGATTTTCAGAGTGTAACCAGTATATATACATTATTTCCACATCAGTTATGCTCATACAATGTGAAGCCATTGCAGAAAAATTAAAAATAAATTTTTATAAAGATACTAGATATACTATTTGCAAAATGGTTAACAAAAGACATACACTTTCAAACATACAAATACTAAATATGAGTTAAATAAACATTTGAAAATTATACAAAGTAATGGAATACTTGATGCAACATGTATGCAGATATTTAATTTGTTACATTTGTAAAAATTTAAGTAATTTTAGTTTTAAGTTCAGGACAAATTGCCGCACAAATATTAGAATATGAATTTTCGCAGCAACTTTTTTGTTAGCTTTGATAGCCAAAACATTATATTTGGATGCAGTTGTCCTTTCCAAAAGACTTCAAGTACTGCCTTTTTACAATGTATGTTCTTTTTATGTTCTGCTTGTATTTTGTTGCAACACTAGCACATTGCCCATTTTTCACAAATGTCTCGCAATTTTTTTAATTAATTTGAAGTAATACTTTTTTGTTTTATTGCAGACAACACAGCTGGGATTCTCACAAAACTGAGTGGGTTTAGTAGAAGATTGCAAGACATTTACTATCTACCTGTTGTAATAGAAGACAGTGGGTATCCAGTCCTCAGCAGTACCAACACTCTGACTATTCGAGTCTGTGGATGTGATACTGATGGCTCCCTCTTATCTTGCAATGTTGAGGCAATCTTCTTGCCAGTAGGACTCAGCACAGGGGCACTGATAGCAATTCTTCTATGCATCATAATACTCTTAGGTTAGTTTTTTCATTTTTATTTATTCCTATTTTATGGCTAGTCTATAATATGTTTACTGTGTTCGCCATGTGTATTCCAAAAAACAGAAAACAAATTATATTTCAAATTTATAAATTTCAGTTTTCTATTTGCCGGATATTTGCAAGTTTGCCAGCAGCACTTAAAACCCGAAGGTAATTTTGGGGAGTTTCAGAATCAGAATCCTTATTGTGGCATGTTGTGTGAAATGTAACTAACTGGACCTCTGCAGAAAACACTCAGTGTTGTAGTTTCTGATACAATGTCATTCCCACCTGTGTCTATTCATCATCAATTCATCATATAGTAAAAGCTGTTTAGTCAGGAATGATGCCAAACAAGTTGAGGACAAGATGTGTAAAGTTGTGTATATTGAAGTTGATGGAAACAGAACCTTTAAAGTATTGTGTTTTATTACATTCTGGACTGAATGAAGAAACAAGTTAAATAAAAATATAAATAACTAAAGGTCTAGCAGGCATATCAGTTAAGTAATCAATTATCACTGAAGTTTCCTCCTAGACCAGGGTTTGGAACAAATGTTCTAAAACAGATGCTATTCAATATTGTTGAGTGCATTTTGGAAAATGGTTTAGAAAACACCTAACATTTTGAGCAATTATCTTTATCCTGTGTACAAATGATGACAAAGTATTCATGCAAAACATTCTTTATTAAACTTTTAAACAAAAATAGGACATTTAATATATTATTTTGATTATTTACTTCACTTATTAATTTCATTATTTGTTATGAAATATTACTTGTGATGATTTTCTAAAAGAAGAAAGCATAAAACTATATTTGACTTCCTAGCATTCTTGTTCCCAGTTGCCAGGATTAGTAAGGTAAAAGCAATCTGATATTGTCTTTCATCCTTTCAACGAAAACAACCTAAATCATTGCAATAGTGCTCTCAAGATACAAATTTGAATTGTAGAGTAAGCCATTCGGTAGAAACAAGGCATTTACAGATTTCTTCAGGCACATTTTTTTAAATATTGAGCTGAAAAGTAAAGTAAATTGAGTAGGTGGAAATCATACGTGAATATAACCAATATCTGTAAACAATCCCCAAGCACCCAATACACAAGTTTTCATATGGGTCCCTGTTTTAATATCAAATACTAAAACTGCTTGACATTTTATTGAACAACTTCAGATGAATTTGAATAACAAATCCCAATTTTAACATTACATAGCACCAGCAGGGTTTATCAATATTGGTTCAACATTGGTTCAAACCAAACAGTATATATTTATATTTACATGCATTACATGTATTTGCACAAACATCTTTATATTTCTAAAATTTAAATATGGCATGTAGTTAGTATATGCCTTTTACAAGTGTTTAATATTTTCTTTCATATTATTAAATTATTATGATAAATTATTATATTGATGTTCAATTATACAATTCAATTATTGTTTTGTTTATTTGCAGTGATTGTGGTACTTTATGTTGGACTCAGGAGACAAAAGAAGAAGGAGACCTTGATGACATCAAAAGAAGATATCCGGGACAATGTTATCCATTATGATGATGAAGGTGGTGGTGAAGAAGATACCCATGCTTTTGACATTGGCACATTGAGGAATCCCAAGGTGATTAAAGACAACACATGTAGAAGAGACGTAAAACCAGAGACCGAACCTTGCCCTAAGATACCTGTTTCTCAGGACAGCACAGATATCAGAGATTTCATTTGCCAGCGGCTGCAGGAGAATGACTTTGATACTGCTGCACCTCCGTATGACTCTTTGGCAACATACGCATATGAGGGAGAAGGATCAGTAGCAGAGTCCTTGAGCTCTATTGAGTCACTTACTGCAGATACTGATGAGGATTATAATTATCTCAACGAGTGGGGACCCCGTTTTAAAACTTTAGCAGGGATATTCGGAGAGCAAGAATCACATCTGGATATAAAGGAAAACAATCTATAATATTGTGAAAAAAGGTCTGGAAGAGAATTTATTTTATACGAGCACCCATTTTTTCCTACTCTCTTCCAAAATGAAATTTAAGGAAAGAAAGTCAAAGGAAACAAGCCAGCCTTCAATTACTATTCATAGTTTTGTTTTGTTTTTTCTGCTCTGTTTTGTTTGTAAGACCTAGGGGAAATGAAGACTAGGCAAAAGCAAAATGCAAGAATTCTCTTTACTGTTCTTAAAAAAAGTGCCTCAAGAACCTTTTTTTTAAACCATCGCAGTAAAAATCTATTTTCTTTCAAGTTTGAGCCCCCCAAAATGGAATAGTATCAAACAAAGTTTAACTGTGAAAAGCAATAATGTTTTCCTGTGGTAACATTATTAATCAAAAAGTTTCTGGGGGCATTAAAGTGGCCCTATTTGGCCAAAGATGGATGCACTGTATATATATTTGCTTGTTTGTTTGTTTTTTAAAGTAACTTGAGGTTTTATTTGGTAATTAACCATAACTCACATGCAAAGGATATTTGAATCATGGGGGGAGGGAGCCTGCTGTAAAGACTTGTATTTGTTTGTTGTAAAATAATTTAGGGCTAATCATGAAATATTAAGATTCAGGTTATGTAATAAACACTGTTTTTTTTTCTTAAACACAATGTGCAGCTTGTTTGGTAACTCTTAAATAAATGCTTCTCAGAAAATAAGATATTGAATGACTTAGACATTAACCTGGTTCTGGGGCTTGTCAGACTATTTGAAGTTGATCAACCACCTCCGATTATTTTCATATAAATAATATCTGTATAAATGTATAGATTTATTTACACTTCATTATATACAGTACAGGCAAACAAGTTAATAAATGAAGGTAAGCTAATAAGTAAATGCATTCATTATTCAATTTTCTTAAAGATCATTTTTGAAGAATAGTTCATTTTTGAAGAATTCTGACCTTATTCATCAACATGTCTGCATGTTTCTGCTGTCTTTTCAAAAAGTGGTGGTTGCCCTCACAATAAAACACAATACGTCTTGAGCGGTCCAAATCACAGTTGAATTTCTCACCCTAGAGAGCATCCTTTATCCCAAGGTTACTGCCCCAAGTAAGAAGGCAACAATTAGAAACAAAGAACAATATTTTGTAACATGACCATATACGTACACATACTGTAAAACTGGCTACAACACTTTGCATAAGGAGGTTAGTTTTCAATTATTACTGTATCCTCATTATAACACATATCTTGATTTAATTAGCTTAATTTGAATCTGTCAGGACCAAAGATTTGATGCATTTATTGGATGCATTTATTTGTAGCATAGAAGACCAAGTTTTAATAATAAAACAATGCTGTTTACTTATAGAAACAACCAGTAAAAATCTAAAATGGTTATATTTTGTCCTACATTATGTGCCTTTACTCAGTTCTGATTAAAGTTAGGTATGTGCAGTAATCATGTATCATATATTTAAAGTAGCTACACATACACATCCTCATGCCTGTTCATGATTACATCATCATAAGTACGCATGAAACCAGTGTAGGTGGCAAAAGGACCTGAAGTGGTCTGTGGTACTGTGGTAAGACCTCACCCCATTGTCTTATTTAAGGTGGTTCAAGTGGGGAGCAGCAGCAGGGTGTGAACAGCAAAAAGGAACGATTAGATTTTAATCCTATGATGAAAAGTAGAAATAAAGCAGAAATGCAACATTAATCTTAATATTGTGAGCAAGTTTGATGTTGTGTATATATAGCTAAACATCTACATCTTTGAGTAATTCATACATCTTGGGAATTCCTCACAATTGAAATATTGTACATTTTGTTCTTTCTTTTCAGGTTGGAATTGAACTCTACATTTTCCAATGTCTAATCTATTTACATGATCATTTTCTACATTAGAGACCAGTAGATTATCAATCCATCCATTCATCCATTTTCTAACTGCTTATTCCAATGGAAGGTCACGGGAGAGCTGGAGCATATCCCAGAAAGCATCAGGCACAAAGCAGGATACGCTCTGGACAGGACGGCACAAGGCACACACAGACACAAACATGTACAGTACATGCTCACTCCAGGGCCAGTATTCCCAGAAGCCAAATAATGTACAAGTACTGTATATCTTTGGACTGTAAGAAGAAACTGGAACACCTGGAGAAAACACACGCAAACATGAAGAGAACATACACTCCAGGAATTTTTAGATAGTAATATTTTTTTTCTTCTTTAAACATTTTGAATGTATAAGAGCAATTTATACATACATACATACATATATATCTGAGAATCTTTCAATTTGTTCACTAGAAAATGCTGTGTCCAAAAATGAAGGACAGTATTCTAGTAATTGGATCATTTGAATTAACTAAAACTATTAAAATTGAGACAGTAAACTCAGAGAGTACTTTAGGGGTACTAGGAATCAATCAATCAGGAGAATCTTCTTAGCCTCACTTCATTAAATGGAGAGGATTCCAAGCTCAGGTTTGTTCTGAAATTGGCTTTCCTGGAAGGTGCATAAAATCTTAAAACATGAGAAGGTCTTCAAATTAAAATATGAACTTGAACTTGAACTTGAACTTTATTGCCATATGTAACCAGTACTGGTACAATGGAATTCTTACTTACAGAAAGTCTCTCGATTGTAAAATAAGTATAAAAAAAAAACAAAACAAAGTGCAAACAGTGCATCAAGACAATGTACAAACAAACAATAGACAATGTGCAAGTAAACATGCAGACAGTTTGAATGTAAACAATACTGACGTGTAAACAATGACTGGAGACGTACAATAAATAAATTACAATGAGGTAGATGGTGATGGTGTGGGTGTGGTCCGAGGGGGATGGCT